GTTTCAGCTGTCATGAATCTGTGGGTTTCTATCGGATTGCTCTATGTAAACCCCAATAGTCACTGGGAAGAAAAATCAAATTTTCAATCTATGTACTTATTAAAAGACAGCCTTGCTAAATTCAATGCTGAGAATACTCTTCTTCACTTCAAGCTTCTTGAGCTTGGTTTACTTATAAGCATTTGATTGGGAAGTTAATCTTTGGTCTCAATTTCATTCTGCACCACTTCATTCAAAATTGGATGTTGCTCTGATAATGAACCACACTGGTTTTAATCTCACGAGGGAAAACTTGATTTTGAATTTTGAGTCTCTTCTTCCATCCTTTTCTCAGTATAAATTTCCAAAGAAAAGTTATAGTGATCTGGCATCTCTATTAGTCTGATTACTTCTCTACACATCTATCCCTGTAAGTCTGACCATGACTACTATGAACCAACATCAATGAATTCCTTTCCATGCCTACTGAAAAAAATCATTATTAGAGTCAATTTTCATTGTCTCAGAGGCATGTTGTCTGTAATACGGGTAAGGATTCAACTTCAGCAAGGTGGCTAAAGTAATTTTATCCGAGTTCAATCCTTGAGGAGTTGATGTAAACAAATACAGTAGATCACAAGTGAACAACTTCAATCAAGAAGAGCTAAAGTACCTTCTGGTCTCTGTAATGGACTATGGTGGGAAACACCTAAGGCTACATATTTATGCAGAGCTAATGGGAGGCATGAATACTACTGAGAATTGAGGGCGGGCGTGCCCGCCTCAGGTCTAGTGTCACAGTATATCCACCACCTCCCTCGCCCTACTCTCATGCTGTATTAGGCTGTATTAATGTGTGACAGGCTGAAATGAGCGATGTCACTAGCAAGAGAGTTCCAAATCTTTTAACTCCAAAACTTCAAATCCAACTTTGAGAGACCCCCCAAAAATTTCAAGTCGAATAGAAATGGGCTCGCTTGCTGTCGCTTCTTAATCTCATACACCCGTCTCTACGGGCTGTATGCAATAACATACTTCCAAATTCTTTGCTTCAAATCTTGGACTTCAAATTTCTTTTTTATATTTGAACAAGTCTAATGATTAGCTGTGTCATGTAGATACAGAAAACTGCACCCTATCTACATGTACTCTGCTGGCTAACAGATGAATAAAAATGAAGACAAAAAACAGGGTAGGAAGAATGGAAAAAATGAGCCTTTAAGAGTTGGCAATGGAGCGCTGTGTGTAACCTCTTCAGACCCTGGCTACCCGCGCTTGAAGCAGGGATTGGATATATGAAACCAGATCAATGGACATGAAAGAAAAATAATTTGACAAAACTGTAATGATCAGGTGAAGCATATCTCATGACTTGTTGAAGCTCTTTTTTGCTTTGATCAGGACCAGCACAAAGATCTTGACACATGTGTAAAAAGCATCAAGGCGATGTACAATACATAATCAGAGCAGCTTGTGCTAGATAAGGCTCGGTGCAAAGACATTGGGCCTTTGAATTTGAACATAGGCTTGGGGAAAGATGAGAGAATCCTAGCTTGTATCTCTTATGGATGCTTGTGTGTTCACTGTTCAGCTGTTAGGGAGGTCTTCTCGATGAACAATGTGTCAATCATAGATAGCTGGCGACGCGAGCGAGAAAATCCTCCGATTCATTCACCAAAAAAAAATTGAAAAAAATACAAATGAAAACAATGAAATCCTTAACAAAAGAAAACCCAAGTATAGATGATATTACAAGAGTCACAAAAAAAACAATCATGATCTTTCACCACGTAAACGACGAGCAAGTTGAATATCTTTAGGTTGAATAGTCACACGTTTAGCATGAATAGCAGCCAAATTGGTGTCTTCGAATAAACTAAGGGAAAACAAACGAGATGAAGAGATGAAAAGATTAGTGATCGAGGATTTGGTATGTAGGTAAAGAAAGATGAACTAACCCAACAAGATAAGCTTCTGCTGATTCCTGAAGTGCCATTACGGCTGATGATTGAAACCTAAGATCGGTCTTGAAATCTTGAGCAATTTCTCGTACAAGACGTTGGAAACTATAAGATAGGGAAAAAAAGTTTAATGAGTAAATAGGCATTGGGCGAAATTTTCGCTCTTTTTTTTTTTTTTTGGCTGAGCAGCAATGCGCCTCACGAAGCAAGTCGAAGGTTGCAGAACAGAGTATGAGTTTCACAGACGTTGTAAAAAGACCTGTTGCCTTACCGGGTTGCCTTTTCGGACTACATTTTTATTCGCCTCGGTCCGATGACCGCTTAACTCTTGTCTTTGAGATTCTTGCTCTTCAAATCCAGCAGTTCGTTACCAATCCAAATTTCTCAGGTCCGTAGTGATTTGTTTATCATTCCCTTCGCCATCACTAAGCTAACCCTCCTGTGCTGTTTGTTCCGGTGTTTGGTGCGGGTTGTTCATCTCAAAACGGAATGAACAGGTTGGTCACAGCCATGTCAGTCTTGTTCTATGCATCCCATATGGTTGCACCCATGAGCTGATGGTTGGAATTCACTCTCACGGGTTTCAGGCCTTTCCAGCGACTTCATCGCAAAGGCATCTATCGTTCAACCAATCAGGTATCAATAAACTCGTTCTGGCTGGTGGCGCGTGTGACGATTCAGCTGTGGCTCGAGCTTCAGCAGGAGAAAGAGGCATTACAACATAGAATATCATATGTTAATCATCACCGAATCAATGTTCAACACTGGTGCCCGAAGGTCTGCTACTTGACCACTCGCTTCTGGCCCATGGAGATCATCAAGATGTACGAGCTATTTGGACTGCCCGATACCGTGACTTTGGACAACGGATGTGTAGAATCTGGCCTGACTGCGCTTGCCATGCTCTTAGCACGTCTAGCTGTGCCAAGCCGGCACTTTGATTTGGCCGAGGTATTTGGTCGTGAGCGTAGTATCATAGGGCGCATTGTGCGTTTCACTCAATCGTGGATTAAGGAGGAGTGGGGTCCCTTACTCAAATGGAATTCGCGTCGATTACACCCGCTTCGGTTAGAGGGATATGCAGCAGCACTTGTAGAAGCCAAGGATTGTCCGTTGGACAACTGTGTAGGCTATATTGATGGTAGGCCTCTTTTGAGAAGCTATTCTGACACGCTTCACTTGAAATACTGATTATTGAAGTTTATGATAGGGACGGTCTGGAAGATATCCCGCCCAAAGTATAATCAAGCTATCTTTTACAATGGCCATAAGCGTTGCCATGCGTTAAAATTTCAAGCTGTCACTACGCCAGAGTAAGTAATTGTGATTCATCTACCATTTAAATACACAGCTGATATGTTCTTTGTGATCAAGTGGCATCACAGCTGACCTTAGCGAGGCGTATGTAGGCTCTCGTCACGACCAAGCAATGCTTCAAGATTCTCAACTCGAATTGATTCTCGAAGAACATGCAAAAGGTGCTGGAGGACGGCAAATGATACTGTATGGGGACAAAGGTTATATGGCCAATAATGTCATCATGACACCATTCCCGGGGCATGTTAACCACATGCCTCGAAATCACTTGCGTTTCAACAAAATCATGAGCAAGTGTCGCATTGGAGTTGAGCACGAGTTTGGCCGTGTCCATAACGTCTTTAGGATCACTCAATATGAAGGTATGTTCAAGTCTTCCTTGATATGATACACAAGATTAGCTATTTAGACCCATACTGACTTCACGACTATGCTAATGACAGATAATCTTATGTTTTACAAAAATGAATTAAATCAACTATATCATGTTGCAGTTTTAATAAAAAACTGCTTGGTCTGCTTAGGCCGCGGGCCTGGTAATGCTCCCCTTCCTCCCCCTTCGCTAGAAGAATATCTCACCCATTATTGAGCTTTATTTGTATGTCATATTTTACTACCAACCTCCCTTGGTACTCATAGTAGTAATTTAATCAAGAATTGAATGCAGTGATGAAATATTATAAATACTCTATCTAGAGTGACTCATCTTCTCCAGATGAGTTGTGAGAAGTTGCACTTTGATCGGATGAGTGGATCAATTTTTGGATCGATCGTTTCTTTGATTTTTACTTTCAGATTGAAATTGAATGATCATATTGAAATGGATTGAGTCGATCAGTTTTGAATCGATCAAGTCTTACATTTTTGACTGCCAGCCTAAATAACAAGGATTTTTAGCACTTGTGAATGATACACTTATTTGGTCAAGTCAATAAGTTTTGGACCGATCAAGTTTTCGATCTGATACTTTAAAGTTGAATCGAAAAAAAAGTTTTTCCATCACTTGACATATAGGAGACTCAGTCAGAGGAAGAAGCTGGGCAAATAAAGTCTCGGTTTAAATCTCACAAGTAACATGACTATGAGGTATTTCTCAGCAGAGTCAGTCTTTCACGGCAACTCATTGGATATATGTCTATGAAACCAATTCATTGCTGTGCACACCATCCCGAAAAAAGGTGGGCAGCATGTTGAGGATCAAAGTCAAACGATAAGCTAAGCTCTGGTTACAAGTAAACTAACAATAAACTGTAGTAAAGCAACCCTGAACACGTTAATTCATCTATTGGGTGCCATTAGCCGAAGTACCTCCAACAAGATGACGCATCATAATTGCTAAATTTGAATCGATCGAAGAGATCTTGGTGTCGAGAGCTTCGGTATTCGCCTTGAGTGCTTCAGTGTTGGCCTTTTGGGATTCGGAAAGAGAGGTGATTTTGGTTTCAAGAGCCTCGGTATTGGCCTTTTGTGATTCAACGATTGAATTAATTTTGGTCTCAAGAGCTTCAAACTTTTTATTTGATTCCTTCGCTTGGTCTGCATCAAAGTCCAATCTTTTCTGTTGTAAAGCTAGCTCTGCGGTACGATGTGTGGCAAGCGAATTGGCGGCAGTCTTTGCAATTTCGAGTTCTTTTTCATAGAGATTATTGACCTTGACGTTCTGATCCAGTGTGGCCTGGTTCATACGACTAATCTCGCTTGAAAAGTTGTTGAGTTCCTTCAACATCTCGTCTCCCTTTGATGTAGTCGATGTAATTGAGCGTCGAGGCTTCTTAGGTGTTTGTCTAGATGTCTGTAAACTATCTTCCGAGTCTGAGTTTGGGCATGATTCATGTTTACGTGCCATATTGTTTGCACACTGTTCACGATAATCTTCGGCAAGGATCGATCGGTTCTTGTTTGTGTCACGCTCCTGTTTGTTTGCTACCCGGAGATTGCGTGCTGTCTGAGTGTTTTCAAGAAGATATTAATTAGAGGGATGAGAATGGAGAGGGACTGTAAAAGGGTAGAGGACCTGACTTACGTCTTCTTCATGCTGCACGGCTTGAATGAGCTCGCGAAGTTCAGTGTTGTCTTCCTCAGTGCCAGAGTCCAATTTGCTCCACGATTCGGCAGCGGCTAGCCAATTTTTCAGCTGGGTGTAACGAGACTGGAGTACTTGGCTCTTTGGATTGTCTGAAAGATCCCTAAAACCACCATCATCGCCATATTCTTTCTGTTAGCAGTCAAACAAAGAATCAATATGTATCAAGTTCGAGCATGTGAAAAGCTAGTCTGAGACAATTACCTTGAGTATGATTGCACAATCATTGAATATCTTGCCTTTTTTACCAGCTGCACCGAATGGGCTCAGATCCGCTAAGCACCGCATAAACTTTAAATCCAGGTCGTCAGCACCATCTTTCTTGAATTTGAACCTCGTGGATTTGATACCTTCAGTGTCAGTTGCAGATGTTGAATTAGTTCGTACACGGCAAAGTTGGCCTCTCTGTGTGCTACGTTTGGGAGGGGGGCTGAGTGAACGGTCACGGTCAAGATTGAACTCGGCAGTCTTCAAAGCTGCATTGTACCGATTCTTGACTGTCTGGTCCTGAATATCCACTGTACGCTCCCATTCGTAGAGATCACCTACTGTCATGGTGCAAAAATCAGGACACTGTGACATCGAGGATATGACTGTCTTTGTATCAACAGCCCCATTAGTCAGAGCAGCGAGGCCGTCAAAGCTACTACAAATGAATGGTGTTCTGTCAGTATCCGCTGTAGGTAAACATTTGTCACCCAACTCACTTGGCCACCGGTATCCGTCGAGTGTGGGTATGACTAGCATCCAGCCTAGTTGTTACTGATCCTCTAGAGCTTGACCGAGATGTCTGGCAAGAGTAGTCCATCAAGTCTTGCCCAGATAGAGGAAGGTTGGGTGGTGCAGGTTGAGTATTCCATGACGGAAGATTGTTTGAAGCATTCCACCCAGGTCGTTGGACAGTAGAGAGGTTATCAAGAGTGTCTAGGGGTTCTGGAGAGAAGTTGAAAACTACGAACAAAATCCAGGGCTACATGAAGCAATCAAAGACAAGTGTTGAAGCATGGAAATAAGGAGACTTACCTTCATGGTCAAGAAGTGCTGACGCGTGAGCTGTGGATGATTGAAACTGTGATTGCCAGTTCTATGATCACATGTTCATGAGTCATGTATCATACAAAGACAAGTAGATAGACTCACCACCGAGTGATCAAGTGAATTAAAACTGCCAACATGTTGCAGATCGTGATCCATTTCATCAAAATTCTTGAGGTATACGATGATTGATGGGGGATATTTTCCGCTGGCCAAAAACTTGATCAAGTCTTATAAATGGTAAGAGTCAGCCTGATATCAAATAGAGGAAAGAGAAAAACACACCTGAGGGCGAGGGAGAGACCAAACAGACCACCACACCTTTGGCTCAGCACCCGCGATGTGTTTGGTTCAACTGCGAGGGGCCGGATGATACAGCTAAGGTCAACCAAGCAATCATCGGATCACAGCTGCTAGGGGATACCCGGGTAGATTTGGAATGGGGGACCTGGGGCAAGGTATCTGTGAAATGTCTGAAAAGCTTCTTCTGTGGCGCAATTGGGGCTTGTGGCTTTTACAGATTAAGCAAGGATGCTTTACGCCAGGTAAAATTCCAGGAAATTTTTGCAAAGCAAAACAAGAAATAGTTTTTTTGCTGTGCTTTTGGTGGCTTTGATATTGTGTCAGCAATGGCTTATCCGGATGCCAGGAAATCTGAACTACATTTGAATTGGTCCCGGCAACCAAAAAAAAAAAAAAAAAAAAACCTCGCCCAATGCCTAATGACTCAATGATATTTTAAAAAAAAACTTTGATGACTTACGGGAGTTTTCGGATCAAGAGTTCAGTGGATTTCTGGTATCTCCTGATTTCACGGAGAGCAACGGTTCCGGGACTAAGATCCAAAGTGAAAAATCAAAGAAAAAGTCAGCCTGTGTTAAGCGTTGAGAGCAGAGGAGATCGGTGAAGGACGAACCGGTATCGGTGAGGCTTCTTGACACCACCAGTGGCAGGAGCTGATTTCCGAGCGGCCTTAGCGGCAAGTTGTTTGCGGGGAGCTTTACCACCGGTAGATTTGCGAGCAGTTTGTTTAGTGCGTGCCATCTTGGTTGATAGAATTGGTTTGGAGAAGGTTTGATTGTTGGAGAAGTAAGGTTACTTTGGATGAAGTTTGTGAGTTTGGTTAGTGATGAGGAGTGGGAAGAAGCAAAGTCTGAGTATTTATAAAGAAACGCAGGTGGCGCGCGTCTGGGTGAAAGTCGCGTCGAATGTTTGCTAAAGCGCGTCTGGCCAATCAGCTTCCTTCCACGCAGCGTGGGCGTGGGAGCGTGGGAGTCGACTTGTACAAGCTCAAGGCGCGTTACTGAGTCTGTACCGTGACGTCGTACGCGTTACCTCCCATTGTACAGTCAGTACAGTCGCGTTCAGATTTGTCAAACTTTGAACGCGACTGAGCTTCGATCGCCTCAGCTTACCCGTATAAAAGGCTCACTCTGGTCCTCCCTTGGTGTCCCCATCAACAATCACCTCTACATCTTCACAACTTTCAAACACCCAATCACATCCTCCTCACCAACACTTTCAAACTCTACACTTTAAACAAAATGTCTGGACGTGGTAAAAGCGGTGGTAAAGGTCTCGGCAAAGGTGGTGCTAAACGTCAGTATTGTCGACTTGCTCTGACCCCTTCCATCCTCTTGGGTCTTTCAACTTTATCTTCATTCACTCACATCTCCCTTCTATACATAGGTCACCGTAAAATTCTTCGTGACAACATCCAAGGAATCACAAAACCTGCTATCCGTCGATTAGCACGAAGAGGAGGTGTTAAGCGAATTTCAGGCTTGATTTATGAAGAGACTCGAGGAGTCCTAAAGGTACATATGCAGCTTTTGCTTCTTTCCACCGTTTTGCGTTAGACTTACTCTTGTTTTTTGTTTAAGATCTTCCTTGAAAATGTGATCCGAGACTCAGTCACATATACTGAGTACGTACCTTTACCCTCGCTGATGATTCTGCTTTCTCTAACTGACGCTTAGTACTTTACTCTATCAGACACGCAAAACGAAAGACAGTAACATCTCTGGACGTAGTCTATGCTCTCAAACGTCAAGGTCGAACACTCTACGGTTTTGGCGCTTGAAGATTTCACTCTTTCTTGGATGCTTATTGTTGTAGAATCTCGATGTCCCTGTTGTTCTGTACTATATTGCTACCATTAGTTACTTGCTTTTGGATAATTGAATCATATTTGGACTGGTATTCTCATTTGTCTGTATCACCTTTGTGTGATCAAGGAGTTCACTCCGTCTCATATGTTGACTCCGCGAGTTTCCCCACCACATTACGCATACTCTTGGTCTCTTCAAGTCCCTGGGTCTGCTGTCTGATTCTCATGTTCCTGGTGAGAGTCATGGCGTCATTATTTGAGAACATAAGATCAGTGTAAGTTGACCCAAATATGAAAATGAGCATGACACGAGATGTCTCGCCAACGACATCAGTCAATGATCACTTCTATGCAAGGGCCAAGTCAAGACATTAGGTCTTCCTATGAGTAATTTTTGCAGACCTTTGGAGACTTACAAATGCTTGAAATCATTCTGGTCATAAATTGTGTTATACATCACTAAACACCACAAGAAATGTAATTTGACATGGTGTATTTGATCGATGGTTCAGGCAAGGCACGCAGGTTGGACCACTGTCTACGGGGCCGGGTGTGTAAGAGTGGTAGTAGCGCAAGATACATAACGGACTTAATGTTATGTATCCGAACCATCTGGACTAGAGAATTTCTGATACAGAAAATCCTCAGACTTCCAGATACGCTAGCACACACTTCGCGAGAGCTCAAACGCTAAACTTTGATCATTCATCAAATTTCCACACACCAAACTAATCAAAGTCAGAGGATTCAAAGTAAATCTAAACTCGCGAAGAATAATTACAATGGTATCAAGTGGAAGCAAAGAACTCTTTCTGGAAAACAAAGACCCAAGGAAGAAACTAAGGGCGTTCAGCAGAGGTCTGTCAGTCAATCAAACGGCAAGCAAACCATCGAAACGTCAAACAAGAAGGACTCAAGACGGAAACGGCCAAGAACAAGAAGAAGAAAACGCCCAAGGTACAAAACTGAAGAAGGTTGTGGTGAAAGGGTACGAGCAAGAACAAAACCTCCAATCTGAAGGAGGCCATGAAGAAAGCTCAGCTATCCAAGCAAGCACCATCAGCCAGAACCCAACAGCGCCAGGCCCGAGACAACAGAGGAGCTTGCCAACCATTGCAGAGAACCCACGCAACAATCGGCAAGCGGAAGATGACCTGGATTCAGAAGGAAAGACCATGGACAGAGAAAGTTTGCTGGAGTACTTAGGTGAAAGACAGAACGAAGAAGAGTCAAGCAAGGATGAAAATTGGGTCCAGCTGAAAAAGATTAAGATGGAGCCAATGGACGAGGAGGAGAGTAGAGAGAAGCTACTATCTGGCTTAATAGCAAGCCCTTCAATAAATAAAGGTAAGGCTTACCACATTCCGTCCTTCCATCTTGCTATCTCGGATCTCCTCGTACCCTTTCCCTTTGTCTTCAATTGTCTATCTGGTCCTCGAGCTATTATATGTGATCTACTGTGATTTCTTTCCCGAGTGAATGACTAGGATCAAAAAGCAAGAAACCCTATCTACGTGCTGTATGAGCCGGAGCACAGAGTACCCTCCCCATTTGTCAAGAAATAACCTGACAGAAATAAGAGATTATCAATCTTAGGTCAGAGGCCCCATACCGGCTATAATGAAAGACAAACATGTCTACTTCCCCACCCCATAAAGGTGGGAAGGCCCCAGAAAAGTCCCCATACCAGATTGGAGGCACGCACGAGAATTTCCTATTACACCAAAAATAATCCAATCAGATCAAGTTCCCCCCAGAATAAGACAAAGAGCAAGAACTTACAAATATGTTCCATTGTGTCATCCAGGGAAACAGAAAGCACCCCGAGAACCAACACCCAGTATGTCTGGTCCTTCTAGAGAACAAGCGAAAGCGCTCCTTGAAATCAGAGACGCACTTGACAACAATGACTTTGAGAAACACACAGAGTTAATGACGACCTACCTGCTATGTTACAATCCGGAGAAGATGAAAGTGATCACGGTTGAGAGAACATCTACCCAACAAAAAGTCCACCAACCAAATACGGAAGAACGCGGTAACCCCCGACAAGAGACCCTTCATCCGGAGACAAATCCAGTCCCAAAAGACCTCAGAACGGCAACCAGCCAAGAAAACACAAACAAGAAACCGGTAGAGCCCAAGAAGCAGAAACCAGCAAAGGCAGACGAAAGGAAAATCCCACCTGGTAGACTGTTATCAGACAATGAAGAAGTAACCAAACCAACCAACAAGGGAGGTGAATTTGTCAAAAACGGGATAGAATTCGCCAATGGGAAAGTCCCTAGCCATCACATGACCCAATTAACGGTGTTCTGGGATAACCGGATTCGAAAAATCAAAGGCTACGTCCCAATTTCGATGTTCAACAAAGCTTGGTTAGAAGCCAACCAAGACATTGAAGGGAAGAAAACATCAAAGAAGAAAAACAAGGATGAAGATGATGATTTGGAAGATGAGAAGTATGGAGGACTTACCTATCCATCCGAGCTGCGGTTGATGTATGGAGACTGGGTCACGTGTTTCAACCTATTCTTGGACTACTTAGAGAAATGGTCCCGATTCAAGAAGTTGGTGAGGAAGTTTGAAGAGCACAAGAGGAATGTAGAGAAGGTGAAAAGTGAGAACAATGAAAACTGGATGGTAGTGTTAAGGTATGATATCAGGATTAGGAGGCAATTCTGGACGACTAGAGTCGAAGGAGGGAAAGTTGGTGACCCATTGGTTTGACAAAAACGAATTGAAGAACAAGCGAGACGTACGGTGGATAAGTTCAGGGAGTGGGACTGCCACAACAACCCATACACCAAGGGTGGGAAGCAACAAGATCAAGCGCCCAAACTGTCAAAAATTGCGGTGAAGGATAAAGGAGAAGTCTCGGAGAAGACGGATAAGAAGGAAGAATTGTCGAAGTGGAAAGAGGACTCACTCTATCTGAAAACCAATAACCAAGGAGGATTCCAAGGAAGGCACGAGAAAGGAAGAGGTTGAGGTCAAGGCCAAGGTCACTATTCCAATTATGATTGAAACAACCAATACAAGAAGGAAGACAATAGAGAGATGAAGTCACGGTACAGAGGAGACAGATGGTCACCAGGGAGAGACGACAGGTCCAAGTCCCCAATGCGTTGTGGTGATCAATTTAAGGGATCAATCAAAAAATTCATATTTAGTAGTTTACCAGTTTATTAGAAAGGTTTAGCAGGACAGAAAATTTGAAATGGAGGTTTTTTGGATCAATTGAAGCTCTTATAGGCCTATGTATTGGTCATTGGGTTAACATTACATCATTTTATTTCACATTACTTATTAAGATCATTAGAGTTTATTCACAAATTCATTACAAAAAGAAAGAAAGAAAAACATAAGGAAAATTCAAAAATATAGGTATACAGGTTGGAACATAGTTTTTAGGGTAGTAATAATAAAGTTATGGGTATTATGAGGCTAGAATAAGAAAGAACAACATTATATTATACTGTAACAATTTTAATCTTGAAGGTTGATAAGAAGAAACAGAAGTTATTAGAGAAAAGGTACTTTTTCGAAGTTGGTAAACAAGAGGTATACTTTCAGTTTGCATATGTAATGGTAGTAATAGTGAAATTTAAGGTTGCCAAGAGGATTTTCCGGGATTTTTAAGGCTATAGAGGATGATGTCATATTACATGAGCAATAAAAAGAGAGTAGCAGCTGTGAAAAGTGAAGAAAATGGGAGAACTTCGTCAAAAATGAAGGTTTTCAGCTTATTACATATGTCAAATGACGTCAGAATAGGTTGGTAGATAGCTCATTCAACGCAGAAGAGTGGATTACATAATTTAAAAACTTTAAGCCAATAGTAGCGGAGGTGTATGTCAAGAGTTATAAGGCAAATAAGAAATTAGTGTGAATCTCAAATTTACAGTCACAAGTCAACATGTAACACCAAAAACCTTAACTTCACAACTCAATATCTTACTCATCACTCATTACAAATAGGTCATATGGGTGTCATAAATGATCAGTAACACGAGGGCTACAAGATGCACTTTAGTAATCAAAAATTGGAGCCCATCTGAAAAAATTTGTAATCTCAAAATTTGGTTTTCAGCTAGTTTACAAGGAAAAAATCACCTGTTTTCATTATAAGAAGTGCTGTACATCATATTATTGCGTCATTGATCACTTTTAGCTGTGAAAATTACATCATTTATTAGTAACAGAATCATTACATTGCGTCATCATAGGGTTTTTAGGGTTTTTTGGACGGATTTGATTGGTTTTGAGGCTGTTGATCATTGTAAAAGTTGGAGTACATTGTTATGTATACTTTGAGATGATTTTGAGACTGTTGTTCCCCTTTTTTGTTTGTCATTTACACAGTTATTATTTTGTTTATCATCATAAGCTTATTTTAATAGTACCTGGTCACTTAAATACACCCTTTATTATAGCTATAAAGAGAAATTTACTTTAGTTTTATAGTCAAAAAGACTTATTGGGAATAATATCATAAAGATATTGCTTATTTTCTTCAGTTATCATTTGGGAATAACACTATAGCAGTGTTGATAGTAATAAAAATTGTGCTTTGAAGTTAAAAATACGTGTGAAGATATATTTCTCTGGTGCCTTATCTGTACTCAATACAACAGTGCCTTTTCCCAATTGTATTGTTTTAGAATAGCAGTCCTTAGACAACTTCTACTAGTCATTATATTAGTAGATTATCCTCTTCCAGCTCTGTATAACCCTTGTTGGGTTATACCTTCTACAGCGTAGAGCACAATCCCCGCACAAGTATGAACGTGACAATAGACAAGAAAGAAGTGACAGAGATGATAGAAGAGATGACTTCAGGGAAATCGTTCTAATCAAAACAAATCTAACGCGAGAGACGGTGCAAAGAGGAAGTAAGCCCTAAAATGACCATTAACTTCTCCGTGTCACGTGCAATGAAGCCTGCAAGGCAAATGTGGAATCCAGACACA